TCTAATTGGGTCATGAAATGTCTGCAAGAAATCAACCAAGCTCAGAGAGCACCAAGTCCTCCTCCGCCTCTTCTCCTTTTCCTCCATTCCACAAATCCAGTGGTGGGATTCAAATAATTTAACAACCGGTTCTTTGCCCTAATGACCAGCTGGGTTGGCGTGGCCATGGTAGGTGTGGTCAGGGGGTGTGACAGGCAACACTTGGCCTCCCCTCCCCCCCGTGCCTCGTTTTGGGCCTCCCTGCAGCCTCTTGGAAACAAAAATGGGCCACGGAGGGGTGGGGAGGGTAGGGCTGGGTCGCACCTACCTGCACCCTGTTTTGGGCCTAGTAGGCCTCCCTGCAGCCCCCTGGGAGCAGAAACGGGCCATAGGGGGGCCACACAGCACCCCCTGCACCCCATTTTGGGCCTAGTAAGCCTCCCTGCACTTACCTGGGAGCCAAAACTGGGCACGTGGGTACTTCTGGATGGGGTGGGACAGGGCGGGGCCAGCCAGCAATTAAACAACCAGTTCGGCCGAAATGGTACAAACCGATTGAATCCCACCACTGTGACAAATCCCACTCCCTTCTAGCACTGATGATGTTCCCTACTTGGATCATAAAACATCTGCAAGAAAACAACCAAGCTCAGAGAGCACCGAGGACCCCACAGTCTAAAATTTCTCACTGCTGGTTTCTCACCCCACAAACCAGTGGTGGGTTGCTCCCGGTTCGGCCGAGCCGGTAGCGGTGACGATGTGATGTCACTGAACCAGTTCTCTATGACTGGGAGCTGAGCCCTCCCGCCCGCCCCCACTTTATTCCTACCTTTATTTCTTGGTTTTTAGCCCAGCTGATAGGCGCGGCAGAGTGGATTGCCGCACCTCAGCTGGCCAGAAACCCAACGCGCTTCCGCAGAGCGCAAGTTCGACGCACGTGTGAGCGAAACGAGCATGCGCACGGTGATTGTGGGCAAAGCGCGTGCGTAAAGAACTGGTAGTAACACCAGTTGGAACCCACCACTGCTGCAAACCAAAATCCCACGGAGATGCTCAGCCTCCCTTATCCCTGAGAACAAATGAAGTTGGTGCACTCTCCCTAACTACCATCGTGCAATTTGATAATTCAGAATGCTAGGCTGATAGCATACTATTGACACCTAGTGGTAGTCAGAAAACACTAAATGCATCGTCATAGCCTAGGATTTGAAACAGAATCTCTTTACCCTGAGAGAAATGAAGAATGCCGTCCCCCTTGTAGCCTCTTGGTAACCCAGTTTGTTGTAGGTATTATTTCAACCTGGATTTGCAGAGGCATCCTCTGGCCCACCTCAGGAATGTCAGACTACCCAACGGTGGGAACAACTCAATAATACCTACAATGGCAGAATGTTTGGTAAAGTTGATGGAATTGACTGAGATAGGAAAATTGACAGCTTTGCTTACAGTGGGAAAAAAACCCATTGATTTTAATTTAATTAAGTTTAAATTTATTAATGCTAGGTGGAAGCCTCTTGTGGGCTTTTTGCATGGAAGAGGGAAAAAAAATGAAATGATGACGTATGGAATTAATGACTGGTAAGATTAATAGATTATAAAAGTGGATGTCGTGTTGTAACAGCAGAATAAGAGTATAATGCAAATTTCATTTATGTCCGATGTAAAAGAAGTTGGAAGTTATCCTTTTTTTTTTTTTTTTGTATTTCTGCTTCTTTCGTTCTTTGGTTGCATTTTTGTCCTCTTTCTCTCTCTTTGCTCTTTCTTGTCTTCTATTCTTTTTCTTGATTAATAGGTCCTGTTGGTTTTTCTCTTTTTGTTTAAAATTTAATCAAGCTATTTTTTTTTTTAAAAAAAACTAGTTACTTACAGGGGAGACTTCTATAACTTGACTTTGAAGGTTCTAGCGAGCACACTTTCCAAAAAGGCACCCTTAGGCATGTTAATTATAAGTAACCCAGAGATTAATTAAGACATTGGTCTGAGCAATAGATCTTATTCCTGAAACATTTCACGCTCCTACTATCGCTTCCTTCATCCGAGAAAGACTTGTGGTGTTTGTGCATTCTACACAGTACGCAGTGTCCTCTTTCATCTGCTTTTTCACGTTGTTCCTTACACTGACATTTATCGCACACAGTATCAAAGGAGACACAATTCTGCCTGCATTGCAAACAAAAGGAGGGTGCACCGAGAAACGGGAGGATGGCATTTGTGTAACACGTTTGAACAGGTCAAGTAAAGATTGTCAGGCCCCGAGAACCAAGAAAGATATGCAGAATTATTTCTGAGCAATTTCTTTTAGTGTTCCTGATCTACAGACAGAATCTTGCCAGGCTAAAGCAACGACTTCCATCGCTAAAGACAGACTCTGTGAATCTCTAGGGAGGAGCCTTCTTAACTCTCTTCCTTCCAACCAAACTTGCTAAACTTCACTGGTCCTCTGGAGCAGGGGTCACCAACCTTTCAGACCTCAGGGACCACTAAATTCAGAATTTTAAATCCCATGGACCACTAATATGATCTGCCTAATGACTGTCTGGGTGGGCGTGGCTAGGTGGTCATGTGACTGGGTGGGCATGGCCAACTCTATGTCACTCGTGTCAAGGGGCGCCTCGCCAGCCTCTACTCGCCCCTCCCCTCCCAGACACTCCTCGCCTGCCCGCCTGGGCACCTTAGGGCCCCAACAGGAAGCAGTTGCTGGAGCTAAGCAGCTACCACGAGAAAGAGTTGGCAAAACAGCTCAGTTCAAATTGGATCTGACCAAGAAGGAGGCTCAGCAGAAGCACCTCACTGAGGACTGCAAGCATAGGCTTTCCAAGCAGAGGGAAGATCTGTGGGAGTGCAAGGCCAGGTACTGGCACCTGGAGGCTCAGTGGCCTGAGATGGTCAGCCAGTCTCAGGCCATGATGCAGTCCCACTGGAACGAGGCCCTCTGGCTCTTCGCCACCAGCGGTGCTTCCCTCCAGCCTTCGCCCAAAGCCCCACACCAGGAGGCCGAAGCAGACCCCAAGCCGGAATTTCTGCCCCCCTTCCAACCCGCACAAAAAGATCCCGAAGGGGGAGACTCCTTGGTAGTACAATGGTCTAAAGCACCCTGTTATTAAGACCAGCTGCCTGCAATTACTGCAGGTTCGAATCTCGCCAAGGCTCAAGGTTGACTCAGCCTTCCATCCTTTCTAAGGTAGGTAAATTGAGGACCCAGATTGTGGGGGCAATAAGCTGACTTTGCATAAATATACAAAAGGATGAAGGCTATTGCTTAACGCATTGTAAGCCGCCCTGAGTCTCCGGAGAAGGGCGGCATATAAATCAAATTAAAACAAAAAACAAACAAAACTCTCTGCAGCAACACAAACGTTCATTGCATGTATCCAGCCCAGGGGCCGTAGTTTGAGGACCCCTGATTTAGTGCAATATAAAAAAATAATTTTTCTGCGGACCACCAAAATTTTCTCTTGGACCACCAGTGGTCCATGGACCACTAGTTGGTGACCACTGCTCTGGAGTGCAGCCCCTCCCTCCTGGGAATCCAGAGCTACATTCCAGGACAAAGATTCAGCAGGATTTGAACACTAAGGGAACTTAGAGTTAACTCTGGCTTTTATGTGGTGGAGCATCTGCTCTGAGTTCAGGTTAGTTTGTAATTTAGGCATGGTCTGACTCCTGAAAATAGGTCAGCACAGCTTCTTTTCCCTTCTTCAGGATTTGGCAGCTTGGAATGCAAGAAGAGGTAAAGAGACAAAACTCACAACATTAGAATAACAGAATAACTGAAGGGACCTTGGAGGTCCTCTATCCAACCCCCTGCTTAAGCAGGAGACCATATACCCTTCCAGACAAGTGGCTGTCCAGTCTTTTCTTGAAAACCTCCAGTGATGGAGCATTCACAACTTCTGGAGGCAAGTTGTTCCACTGATTATTTGTACTCCTTGTTAGGAAGTTTCTCCTTAATTCCAGGTAGCTTCTCTCTTTGATTAGTTTCCATCCATTGCTTCTTGTTCTTCCTTCTGGGTGCTCTGCAGAATAGGTTGACTCCTTCTTTGTGGCAGCCCCTGAGATATTGGAAGACTGCTATCATGTAATTGCCAGTCCTTCTTTTCATTAAAGTAAAGATAAAGGTAAAGGTTTCCCTTTGCCCTCTGTGCTAGTCGTTCCCGATTCTAGGGGGCGGTGCTCATCTCTGTTTCAAACTCGAAGAGCCAGCACTGTCCAAAGACGTCTCCGTGGTCATGTGGCCAGCATGACTCAATGCCAAAGGCGCATGGAAAGCTGTTACCTTCCCATCAAAGGTGGTCCCTATTTTTCTACTTGCATTTTTTACGTGCTTTCGAACTGCTAGGTTGGCAGAAGCTGGGACAAGTCACGGGAGCTCACCCCGTTACGCGGCACTCGGGATTCGAACCGCTGAACTGCCCACCTTTCGATCGACAAGCTCAGCATCTTAACCACTGAGCTATCGCGTCCCTATTAATTAAAGTAGACATACCCAATTCCAGCAACCACTCTTTGAGAGAGAAGGAAATACAGAATTGAGAGGCATTTTGTCAAAAACCAGAGATTTTTTTATTTTTTGGAGGCTACATTTTCTGGCAGCCAGGTTTGCTTTTTAAAAGGTTTATTTATTAACATTATTTCTGGCCCACTTTCCTTCCTCTCTCTTCCTCCTGGAATAAGGTAGACTTCTTCTCAGGGGTGAAATCCAGTAGGTACTGACAGGTTCTGGAGAACCGGTAGCGGAAATTTTGAATAGTTCGGAGAATGGGCAAATACCACCTTTGGCTGGCCCCAGAGTGGGGTGAGGATGGAGATTTTGCAATATCCTTCCCCTGCCACAGCCACCACGCCATGCCCACCAAGCCTCACGACGCCCACCAAGCCACGCCCACAGAATCGGTAGTAAAAAAATTTGGATTTCAACACTGCTTCTTCTATGGAGGCATTGCTGGAGGAATTCATGTTTCTCCTTTAAGAGCTCTGCTTTCAGTCCAAAGACTAAATAGCATCTCCTCTTTCTTTTCTAGACTCAGGAAACTGTAAATCTCCGTCTGAAGGATGATGATTGACAATTTTGCCGTTCTGGGAACCTATGTGAAAAGGATGAGACGTCGTCTCTGTGGAGCAATATTTAACGTCTTGCAAAGAGCTTGGACTCCTCAAGCGCTACAAGAGGGGAGAGGGACTTCATAAATTATGGAAAGGGACATGGAGATCTTGCCGGTGATGGATACTTAAAAGGTACGTCTTTAATGAATTGGGGTCTTTCAGCTTTGGACCGATTGGCCAAACTGGATAACTTTGAAGATGTGATTCTCCCTAACATTTCCCAATGATTCAATGACCATGTTTTTTTTAAAAAAAAGATGTGGAGACTCTAGAAAGAGTGCAGAGAAGAGCAAGAAAGATAATGAGGATCCCGGAGGCTAAAACATATAAAGAATGGTTGCAGGAACTGGATATCTCTACTCTAGTGAAGAGAAGGACCAGAGGAGACATGATAGCAGTCTTCCAATATTTGAATGGCTGCCCCAAAGATGATGGGGTCAACCCAAGGGGGAAATCCAGCAGGTTCTGACAGGTTCTGGAGAACCGGTAGCGGAAATTTTGACTAGTTCGGAGAACCGGCAAATACCACCTCTGGCTGGCCCCAGAGTGGGGTGAGAATGGAGATTCTGCAATATCCTTCCCCTGGAGTGGGGCGGGAATGGAGATTTTGCAGTATCCTTCCCTTGGAGTGGGGTGGGAATGGAGATTCTGCAATATCCTTCCCCCAGGAGTGGGGAGGGAATGGAGATTTTGCAGTATCCTTCCCTTGCCACGCCCACCAAGCCACACCCACCAAGCCACACCATGCCCACCAAGCCATGCCCACAGAACCGGTAGTAAAAAAATTTGGATTTCATCACTGGGTCAACCTATTTTTTTTCTCTACTCTACTCTACTCTACTCTACTCTACTCTACTCTACTCTACTCTACTCTACTCTACTCTACTCTGCTCTGCTCTGCTCTGCTCTGCTCTGCTCTGCTCTGCTCTGCTCTGCCCTGCCCTGCCCTGCCCTGCCCTGCCCTACCCTACCCTACTCTCTACTCTACTCTACTCTACTCTACTCTACTCTACTCTACTTCTCTTCTCCTCTCCTCTCCTCTCCTCTCCTCTCCTCTCCTCTCCTCTCCTCTTCTCTCCTCTCTTCTCCTCTCTTCTCCACTCCTCCACTCCACTCCACTTCATTCCACTCATTCTCCCCTCCCCTCCATTCCATTCCATTCCATTCCATTCCATTCCATTCCATTCCATTCCATTCCATTCTATTCTATTCTATTCTATTCTATTCTATTCTATTCTATTCTATTCTATTCTATTCTATTCTCTCCTGCTTGAGCAGAGGACTGGACTAGAAAACTTCCAAGATTCCTCCAACTCTGTTATTCTGTAACTTCTGTATATAAGAGAGCAGTTGTCTGTTGAGTAGGTTATTGAGTGCAACTGCCAAAACAAAACTTCAAAAGAACCAGAAGGGGAAAAAAAAAAAAAAAGAGAACCCGGTAGACAATTTTTGTGAAATCTGGGTCATGAGTTTCTCAAGCTTAGCTTTAACAGCCATCTCCTTGGTGGCGTGTAATCATTGTGGCTTGGATGAAATCCCTGGAGAAGATCTCAGAAAGCAACTTCTCCATCGGAGGAGCTATTTAAAGGAAGGATTTTGTAGCCACAGCATTGGAAGGAGGCAACGTGGTGTTTCGTTAAAAAGAAAAAGGGTGGACATCTGTTAAATCAATTAATCAATCAAGATTTCATACAAATAACCTCTTTGCCTCCAAGCGGGCATGGATTTAGGAAGCACTAAGAATAAGAGTGTGATAAAGTGAAATTTAAGTCCTTCAGTCATGACTAAGCTGGTTGGTACCTTTAAAAACCTTTAATCTTGTGTATTTATCAAGGGAAAAGTGACACCTTTTTTTTGTGCTTCGTTTTTTCCCCCCCTAGGAAATTATGCATCAGATTTGTCTGTGATTGAAAACAAAACAAGAAAAAAAAAAAAGATTGAGCATAGTAGTGGATGGAAGGCAGGCAGTGGTCCAGAAGCAGATACAATTCAAAACCTTCACATCAATGAATAGGTGGTACCTCGCTCAACAGGAGCCTGAGTGGCGCAGCAGACTAATGCTACTGTTAAAAGTAGTATTTAGCTTCCAGCTGCCTGCAATTACTGCGAGTTCAATTCTCACCAGGCTCAAAGTTGTCTCAGCCTTCCATCCTTTCTAAGGTAGGTAAAATGAGGATCCGGTTTGTGGGGGCAATAAGCTGACTTTGTATAAAAAATATACAAAAGTATGAAGGCTATTGCTTAACGCATTGTAAGCCGCCCTGAGTCTCTGGAGAAGGGCGGCATATAAATCAAAAAATAAAATAAAATAAATAAAATAAATAAATACCTTGCTCAACAGTAGTAACTGTGAGAGGGATCTTGGAGTCCTAGTGGACAACCATTTAAATAGGATCTAGCAGTGTGCAGCAGCTGCCAAAAAAGCCAACACAGTTCTGGGCTGCATAAACAGAGGGATAGAATCGAGATCATGTGAAGGGTTAATACCATTTTATATAATGCCTTGGTAAGGCCACACTTGAAATCCTGCATCCAGTTTTGGTTGCCATGATGTAAAAAAGATGTGGAGACTCTAGAAAGAGTGCAGAGAAGAGCAAGAAAGAGGATTAGGGGACAGGAGGCTAAAACATATAAGGAACAATTGCTGGAACTGGGTATGTCTAGTCTGATGAAAAGAAGGACTAGGGGTGACATGATAGCAGTGTTCCAATATCTCAGGGGCTGCCACAAAGAAGAGGGAGTCAAACTATTCTCCAAAGCACCTGAGGGCAGGACAAGAAGCAATGGGTGGAAACTAATCCAGGAGAGAAGCAATTTAGAAATAGAAATAGAATAACAGAGTTGGAAGGGACCTTGGAGGTCTACTAGTCCAACCCCCTGCCCAGGCAGGAAACCCTACACCACTTCAGACAAATTTCCAGTGTTGGGGCATTCACAACTTCTGCAGGCAAGTTGTTCCACTTATTAATTGTTCTCACTGTCAGGAAGTTTCTCCTTAGTTCTAAGTTGCTTCTCTCCTTGATTAGTTTCCATCCGTTTCTTGTTCTACCCTCATGTGCTTTGAAGAATAGTTCGACTCCCTCTTCTTTGTGGCAACCCCTGAGATATTGGAAGACTGCTATCATGACTCCCCTGGTCCTTCTTTTCATTAAACTAGACATACCCACTTCCTGCAACCGTTCTTAAAACAGGACTTAGAACTAAAGAGAAATTTCCTGACAGTGAGAACAATTAATCATCGGAACGACTTGCCTCCAGAAGTTGTGAATGCTCCAACACTGGACGTTTTTAAGAAGAGATTGGACAACCATTTGTCTGAAGTGCTGTAGGGTTTCCTGCCTAAGCAGGGGGTTGGACTAGAAGACCTCCAAGGTCCCTTCCAACTCTATTCTATCTATTCTATTCTATTCTATTCTATTCTATTCTATTCTATTCTATTCTATTCTATTCTATTCCATTCCATTCCATTCCATTCCATTCCATTCCATTCCATTCCATTCTTTGGAAAAAAGAGATTTTTTAATAATGATGTTTCCAGAGGGGCGAGCTACTAATTACACTTGCTTTCTGCTGATTCCTTAAGCAAAATACCCTTTGAAACGTGCATTTATTTATTTAGGTTTAGGCACCGCCCAGCTAACATGACTGTGAAAAATTATTTGCATTTGGAAATCTCCCACTTTTAGGTTTATACATAAAAAGGGAGAGAAGGGAGAAGTCTCAAAGAGAGGCTCGGAGCAAGGCAGCTATGGATGAGAAGAAGACGGCAGCGACTTAATGCTTAGAATAATTCAAGAGCAGCGTCTTGGAAGAGACACAGCTTTATCAAGGTTCCCCTGGGCTCCGGTGTTCGTATGAACTACTCTGCGGTTGCTTATCACAGCCTCGAAAACGAAAGGAACAGGCAGCACAACTTAACGAAAGCATGTCAGCAAGAGAGAGGTGTCTTAAGAACATATGTATTTCAGATGCAAAAGTTGATTTGTTTGCTTTCGTGTCGGGACATGAAGGTGTGATCAATCAAATGTCAGCATATTCCCTGTGAAATTTGGTCTGGAATATTAAAGTGGGGTGTTTTTTTTTTTTAATTTTAAAAAAGTGGTTCTATTTGAAGAGGTAGGAGAATATAGAGTAGAAGGTTGGAATGGAATGGAGAATGGAGAATGGAATGGAATGGAATATAGAATAGAATAGAATAGAATAGAATAGAATAGAATAGAATAGAATAGATTTAGGACAGAGCAGAAGAGAGCAAAGGAGAGGAAGAAGAGAGTAGAGAATGGAAGGAATGGAATGGAATAGAATAGAATAGAAGAATAGAAATAGAATAGAATAGAATAGAATAGAATAGATTAGAATAGAATTAGAGGAAGGGAATGGAATGGGAATAGAACAGAACAGAATTAGGAATAGAATAGAATAGAATAGAATAGAGGGAATGGAATGGAATGGAATGGAATTAAGGAAAGAACAGAACAGAACAGAATGAAATTGAGTTTGACACTCCCGATCTATGACATGCTTCCTGTATATGTGACTACTCAAAAGGAAACCCACTGATCTCGGTGATGCTTGCACCTTCCCTGCTCCTGCCAAGCTGCATTAGACAGCTTACTTGGCCAACTCGTTGTGTATTAACAGAATTCTTAGTGTTTCATCCTCCCCAGGGGTAAGAAATAGACTTAATTGACTTTGAAAACAATCCTGTAATTAATATGAGAAAACAGTCTGTTCAGGGGGTTGAGAAATGGCTTTCTTCCGAGCTATTTTACAAACTGTTTGATCTCGCGGAATAGTTGCTGACTCCAACCTCCAATGTGGTTTTGGAAATGTTTTTTTTTGGGGGTGTGGGAAAAGCACCCTCCCTGCTCGGTAAACTCTCCAAGAAGGTTGAAGTTATGGTGAACCCAAGGTGCATAGCCAACTTTCCCTAGTTTTGCTGCAAATGAGTTTGGAGGAAGGCATAATTGCTATGTCATCTAGCTACACTGCATAAAAAGTTGAGCCTTCACCTTGAAGATAAGGCTTGCCTGCTCCTTATCAGCGTGTGGCCCTGGGAAATGGCAGATTCCATTTAGATAATTTCAATCCTGATGACCTTGGCACATGTTCCTTTTAGACAGAAGAGATTAGGAAGCTGGCAATAATAGCCTTTCTCCCTCTTTCTCTTGGTTTCTGCTTACAGCTGATGTAAGGAGAAAGGTTTGCTAATAAAGCCAATTTCTTGAGGATTAACCTCTAAAAAAAGAAAGGCTTTTTTTTCTAGAGCCTTTAACACAGCCACCTCTTTTTTCCAAGGTGACACAGCTGCTTTGAAGGTGCTGGGCTTTCATTCACTCCACCTTTTCCAAGGGTTTGCACAAGGATTAAGATCAAAAGAGAGAGAATTCAGAGGGATGAAGCTATGGGGCCATAGGTTCAGTTCTTGGACAAGAAGTAAGGGTGTACCAAGAAAGAATATTTATAGCTCAGGCATGAACTGTGGGGTCCCTGGTGCTCTCTAAGCATCGTTGTTTGCTTGCAGACATTTCATTACCTGTCTAGGTAACAACTTCAGTGCTAATGAGAAGGTGGGCTTCTCCCCTAGCATGGATGACATTTTCTAATTGGGTTATGAAATGTCTGCAAGAAGACAACCAAGCTCAGAGAGCACCAAGAGCCACACAGTCCTCCTCCTCCCAAACCCCACTCCCTTCTACCACTGATGATGTTAGCTAGTCAGATAATGAAATGTCTGCAAAAAAACAACCAAGCTCAGGTAACAATGTATTTGGCATAACAAAAATAACTTCTTATTTGGCACCGTTCTAGAGCCCTACCATCCTATCCTATGTTGCGTGAACCTTTATCGGGTCACAGAATTAGGGGAAAATCAACCCCCCCCACTAAACATGAAGTATCCAACTGGCCTCAGAACTCCCCCCTCCGCAATTTCTCACGTCAGCCACAAATTTTGGCCCCCAAATCCATTGTCTTCGGGCCAACAGAAATAGCCAAGACTTGAATCAAGCAGAACGTATCCATTCACAGGGGAAACAGGAGTGGGCTTCCAAAATTTTAGCAAGGGGTGGGCATGGTCATGGTGGGCATGGCCTAGTTGGCCTCCTGCACCACGGCAGGGGGTGGTGGTGTTTTTTCCCTTCACGGGCTCCAGAGGCTTTCCTCAAGCCTCCGAGAGGGAGAAAAAGGCCTCCCCAGGTTCCAGAGGCCCTCTGGAGGCCAGAAACTAACTTCCGGTAGGCCTATTTTTCACCCTTCCCGAGCCTCCGTGTGCGCCCTGCACTTACCTGCATCCAAAATCGGCTGTGTGGCAGGGGTGGGTTCTAAATTTTTTTACTACCGGTTCTGTGGGCGTGGCTTATTTTGTGGGTGTGACTTGGAGGTCATGTGACTAGGTAGGCGTGGCTAGCTGGTCAGAGTCATTTCTGGAAGGTCCTCGCACTTACGACCAGTCCTCGCACTTACGACCCGACTCATTTGTTTGCTTTTAACACTGATCAGCTGTAGGACGGCCCTTTGAAGCCCCGCGGCAAGAGTTTAAACAGTTTTTTTCCCTCTAGTCATCAGCTGGGACTCAGGAGGCAGCAATAGATTGGGGGTGGGGCCAAATAAAAGGTAAGAATAACGTGGGTGGGGGGGGGGGGGGGGGGGGGGGGGGGGGGGGGGAGAACCAGTTTGGTGACATCATATCGTCACCGCTACCGGCTCGGCCGAACCGGACCGAACCGGGAGGAACCCACCACTGCTGTGTGGGGACTCCTGGGAGGGCCATGGCGGGGTGGGCAGGGCCAGCCAGGAGTGGGATTTGGGGGGATTCTCCGAACTGCACAGAATCTTAGCTAGAGGTTCTCACGAACCTACTGCAAAATCCCAGCACCTCACTCCTGAAGAGAAACTTATGGGCAAAACGACATCATCACCCCTGGATAAAAACTACTCTATCCTGTCAGGGAGAGAAGAGATAAAGATGTTCTCATTCGCAAAGCCCTATCGATTTTTGGGAGGGGGAGGCGGGAGGGGAGGCGGGAGTCACTTCCAGCAGCCAAGGATGTCTGGTAACAAGCCGCTCGTACAAGAGGTGTTGTTATATTGATAGAAAGTCAAAGGTTGCAAGACAAATGACTTGTTCCCTCGTTAAGGCTCTGTTCAGGAAGAGAAGTAATTTTAAGGCAGCCTACAGGACAACGGGGGTGATCGATTTAACCCCTTGTTACCCGCATCCTTCTGTGCAGGAGAAGCCCATCCCATTCCTTTCTGGTTGGGTAGAACATTTTGGATCCCAGTCCAGAGGAGGGATTCACTTCCCTTCCCTACCGGTTGGCAGATGTGAGCGTCCGCTCATGCTCGCATCGCTCGCATGCGCCACCTTTGCACATGCGCAAGGCCTTCTGCGCGTGAGCAGTAGTCGCACATTATGTCTGGGTGGGTGGGCGGAGCTCCCCGCAGTCGCCACTACCGGTTCGTGCAATCTGGACAGAACCGGCTGAAGCCCACCACTGATTCCAGTGCTCCAAAATTCCATCTGCAGGGCCAAATGTCTCCAAGAAATTCCAGCACTGATGTCTATGCATCTTATTGAAGTCTCTCTCTCTTTCTCTGTCTCTCTCCCACTCTTTGTCTCTGTCTCCCTCTCCCTCCCTCCCTCTCTTTCTCTCCCTCTCTCTCTCCCTCCCTCTCCTCTCTCTCTCTCCTTCTCTCTCACCCCCTCTTGCTTGCTCTCTCTCCCTCCCACCCTCCTTCTCCTTCTCCCTCTCCCTCTCCCTCTCTCCCTCTCCTCTCTCTCTCCTTCTCTCTCCATCTCTCTCACCCTCTCTTGCTTGCTCTCTCTCCCTCCCACCCTCCTTCTCCCTCTCCCCTCTCTCTCTCCCTCACTCTCCATCTCTCTCCCTCCCTCTCTCTCTGTCTCTTTTTCTCCTTCTCTCTCCATCTTTCTCGCACCCCCTCTCCCCCTCTCCCTCTCTGTCTCTCTCTCTCTTCTTCTCTCTCCATCTCTCTCTTGCTCTCTCTCCCTCCCACTCACCTTCTCCTTCCCTCCCCCTCTCTCCCTCTTCCTCCCTCTCCCTCTCTGTCTCTCTCTCTCTCTCCATCTCTCTCCATCTCTCTCACTCCACTTGCTCTCTCCCTCCCACCCTCCCTCTCCCTCTCCCACTCTCTCCCCCATTGCTTGTTCTCCCTCCCTCCCCTCTTCATTTCCTTGCTTCCTCCCTTGAGGTGGGGCAGTCTAGTAGTTCTCCCCATCTTCTCACCCCATATTTGCTTCGAAGACTCAGTAAAAGTGTTTATGGAGATTTCTCAGTCATCCAGGTCATAGTTGCCCCAAAAGTGCTTTCTTCAAAACTGGACTTTGTTTTTCCTTGAAGATGTTTTGCTTCTCATCCAAGAAGCTCCTTCAGTTCTGACTGGATGGTGAAGAATGGAAGGATTTATATTCCTTGCAGTCATCTGGTCATTGGCACTTCGAGAAAGGAATAAAAGAGGCCATCTACATTAAGATTGAACAGCCCTCTCTCAACAGAGGGGGAGGGATATGACACCTCCTATCTCCTGCTCACAACACAATCCTTTCATCAGTTCCAAGAAGGTTCCACACCCATTTCCACTACTCAGGTGACACTGAGGCCACAGATAAATCTCCAAGGACTCCCAGAAAGAGCACTAACGACCAGATGACTGCAAAGGAATATAAATCCTTCCATCCTCCATCATTCACTCAGAACTGATGAAGCTTCCTGGATGAGAAGCGAAATGTCTTCAAGCCAAAACAAATGAAAGTCCAGTTGCCTCTTGAAAAAGCACCTTGGGGACACTCAATAGAAGCCTTTGAAGATTCAAGAGACTTTAGATCAGTGTTGGTGAACTTTTTCGGCACCGAGCCGAAATGGCATGCACGTGCGCCAGGAAGGTGGTCTTCCGATTTCTGGTGCACGCATGTGCACTGGCCAGCTGTTCTTCATGCACGCATGTGGGCCAGAAACTGGAAAACCAGATGGCCTGGTAGCATGTGCACCGGGCGGCTGCTCTTCTGGTTTCAGCGCTCCCACACATGTGAAGACCACCTCGGCAGTGCGCCGAAACCTGGAAGAGCAACGGGGG